TTTTTTTTTTTTTTTTTTTTTTTTATGTTGCCGAAGTCCTCGTCGTCGACGTCTCGTACAGTCGTCGTTCGATCCGCAGGGTGCAAAGAGAAAGACAGAACAAGAGAAAAAGGCAGACAGTAAAGAAAGAGAGCAACACAGGGAGAGAGAGAGAGAGAACGATCACGAGGGACGATCTTGGGGAAAAGGTGAGATTCTATGCTCTTGAATTTCCCGTTTCTAAGAGACTGATTTCCGTCGCATGCTTTGTCAAGGATTTTAACCACGGCTTGACATACTTCATTGGCTTTCCGACGCGTTTCACTTTGCCTCTAATTTCTCTTCGATCAAGCTTCGGGTCCCGTGATCGAAGGTAAATCGAGAAGCGAGAAGAGCCTAACAGCCGCGACTGAAAGAAGCATGCGTCGCTAGAACAAAAGGAAAAGAAAAGAGAGAAAGAAGCATAACCTCCTTCTATTTCGCTAATCCAATTTTAATCCTGGACACACGATAATCCTCGTGCAGTTTCGTTAATCGTGATACGAGTCTGCGAAGCAAATAATCTTTCGATTAAACGCGCGTGGTCCTCCGTTCGAGCGAAAATAAACCACTTCTGACGAATCGATCGATCCCTTGGTCCAACAAAATTCACGAGCGAAAGCGAGCTGAAAATAAAACCCGGCTCTCAGCGCGAGAACCTACTCGATTCTCGTTTGCGATCTTAGCGTTATCGGCGCCCGTTGCTACAACCATGTGGCACGCGAATAGCATCGCAGATGCGCCACATCCTATGCGACGTCGCGTATCGGCTGCGGGTACAGAAATACAGCGTCCTTTCTTCCATTTGCTTTCTCGGGGATGAAGTATGTCAGTCATGAAGAGGATGAATGGAAGGGTGAAGAAGTGAGAGCCGTAAGAAGGTGCTACTAAGTCGACGGCAGAAGAAAAATATCGGTGACGAGACAGGTCTCGGTGCTGGTGCATTGTCCGTTTCGATATCTCGCTCACGGTGTCCGACCCAGATGGCCGAACGCGACGATGGAAGGGTGCACCCGTTGGCGGTGCACGCTTCCGGTGCAGGAAAAAGAGAGAAAGAAAGAATAAGAGAAGAAGGTGTGTGACGATAACGTGTCGGTTAAAAGGTACTTCTTCCCGATGCGTGCTCTGTCCGGCCCGTGTCTATGACCCTCCGAGAATCACTTCTCGGAATCGCTTCTGTCCACGACCGTGCGAATCCCGCTCTCGCTAAGTATCCGTGAATTGCCACTCAAGCCACGTAGACTTCACCTAAATCCTAGATCTAAACGCAGGCACATACACGGAGATGCAGGGAGGTCGGAGGGTGGTCGAACGGATGCGACGTCGCCGTGGATTCCCAATTATACTCCCGGTTTCTTCCTCCGAGGGTCCGAGCTGCGTTTCCCGGTTACAGGCCTCCTCGTTACCCTGTGCAGGCACGCGTGCTTGAACTACTTTTCGTGCTTGAATTTGTTGCGCTTAGCGCGCAGCTCCCGCCCGTGCACGGCCGTGTTGCGAGTCGAGCATGTCTGACTCTCGAGCAACTATTCCACTGCTCCGCCAAGGATGAATACTAATGGGATATTTTACTGGCCCTCGCTCGTTCCGCGAATTTTTCCCCGGCGAATATAGGACGCTCCGTCAGGCCGCCATTTCCGAATACTTTTCGCAGAAATTTTCTTCCACGGAAGCTCCCGGAAAATCACTGGTAATCGAATATTTCCCGCGGCCCGGGTTAGGTTTTACGGCAGTGAAATGGCCCTCGGCTTTGCGACGTTCCTGCACGTTCACCACGGCGACTTCGCATCCGAGATCAGGCTACTGGGGGTGTAGAGCTACGGACGTGAACGACGTTTCGGGAACGGCTACGACTGTTCTAACATACGAATTTACGTGAGGTATGCGAGAGAACATGGCGGCGATGGTGCTCGTGGAATAGTAACGGCGGTAATGATACAAATATTTGCTACGGTGACTGGTGGTAGCGAAATAGCGACAGTATATAGGATGCTACTAGAATAAGCGCTGCTCCGAGCACTGGTGGGAAATCGTCCAAAAGCTCGGGACCAATGATCTTCGTTTTCACCCCTTTTGACGGAAGATATAGAACGACCGGAAAATATTTATCCAATACTCAACACCTTTTCATTGAAATTGCTCAGTTTACTCTATTTACCTTCGTTATCGATTTATTAATCGTTCGAGTGATCAATTATTTTATACTCCTCAAGATTATTCACTCCTTATTTGAGACACCATGATTCAAAGACGAAATAAAGAAGGCTCGCGATAAAACGAAGACTATGGATGACAGTATGACCCCATTTCGGAATTTTGCAGCCGATTTCACTGAGCTTTTGGACGTTTCGCGTGACAGACCGGAAGAAGGGACACGCGTGCACGGGACACGAGCGTCCACAAGCACGTTGGTGCCGTGCAAGCGTGAAAGTTGAAGGTATTCGTGTGCTTCTGCGTGCTGGTGAACGCGGCGGTACACGTGCCTAAGACATTGGGCCATGTTCGTGTGTCTGTACTCCTCTGGAACGTGTGCTGTTCGTGTTTGAACGTGACTGTTTTTCCCGGATACCGGAAGCGTGATGGGTCGACGAAGGTGGGCCAAGGATGTACGCTGGTAATCTCGACCGATCGGCTTCTGTTCCGCTCGGCGAGGTGGCGAGAAGCAGCGGGAAGCGTCCAAATCCGACGCGATGCGAGGTCTCGTGTAGCTCCTATCGTTCGAAACGCGACTCGACGCGGGGGTGCTCCCTGAGCAGGCAGCCCTTGTCAGCTTGCTTCAATTACCACATACCTGATACCCGTTACGTCCGGCCTTTTTCTTGGGAGAAGCTGTGGCCGATGAGACCGATCTCGTGCGAGGTTCGTGCGTAATCGAGCCGGAGATGCACATCTTCGCGACCGTGTCGTTTACATGTCGGGCTTTCCCTTTTCCCGCGTAATTTTCGCGCAATTCCAACGACCACACGCGTGTATGGTTAGAACGGAATGGAACCGGGATCTCTGTCGGTCGCGAAAATGCTCGTGTCTAAACGGGACACCGTGTGCTCGGTACTCTCCTGCACGGGTATATGTACAGATATGCATACGTATACATATACAGCGAAGGAAAGCGCGTGATTTTCGGGTGAGCTGGCTTCTCGTGGGGAATAGGTCCGTTTTCCCTTTTCATCCGGGTTAAAGTGGCTCGTGATGGGATCACGATTACGGCGCGGCGTGAATTATCATACGCAGGGTTGAAGGGGGTGGTGGTGGCGGCTGCGGCGGCGGCGGCGGCGGGGGGCGGGGGGTACTGAAGCGTGAGATGACACGGGGCAAGAGAACTGAAGCCAATGGCAGCGCAATGGTAATAACTCTCTACTTGCAAGCAAACTACGTCACAACATTGGGCAGCGACTTTAAGAAAGAGAAAACAAAAGAGAGATAGTAGAACAAGATGGTAAAGAGAAAATATAAGAATGTCGATCCCGTTTCGTAATATGCGTGTGCACGCGCATCTCTGCGTAGCGAGATGCGTGTACAATGGTCTCGCGATAGACGAACGATACATGATATGTACATATACGTTTGATGAGCGTGACAATAACATATCGTCGATCAGAGTGGTAGTGATACATATATATGTAGAGAGAGAATAATAATAATTATATATATATGTATATGAATATGCCGACATGGGTAGAAATAGCTTAAGGACCTGCTTCTGGGCCATCGACTGCATCTGCTGGAACATGATCCTTTCCTCCTCTTTTCCTGGAACAGCAGAAAGCAACGAGAAGCTCTTGGGATGTCTGCTCGGTGTCCAGATTTTCGGACGGTCTCTGTCTGCGTTTTACACGATTTAACATCAATTTTTAAAGGTCTCTTGGCACGGTTCTCTTCGAGATTTTCGTGTGGGGGGGAGCGTGATTTTTTCGAGGCTTTGTCTCTCATGAACGTTACGAGATGAAATCGTTTTTTTTTTTTTTTTTTTTTTTTTTTTTTTTTATTTTTCTCTAAACACCTCTTCCGTGGTTGCGGCTTCCCGTTTTTAACAACCCGCGTTCCGCTCTTACGTGCTACCACGAGGAATAATCGGTGCCATTTTTATTTTCAGCATCTCGTTACCTAAGGCGAACCTGCGGCGAACGATCGAGTTAAACGTCTAACCTGTAGTATTTGGTAGAAAACCGGATGGGTTTCCCTGGTCTCTTTCCTTCTCTATCTAGATTATTTTCGCCTTAAACCGTGATGGAACGGGCCGTGATGGTGGACCAGCCCCGTATCTCGGTCACAGCGAAAGTCGACGGTATTTTCGTGCGCGCAGCACGCCGTTTCGCAAATAAATTCGCCTACGTTCTATGCACGGACCGGCTCGGCGATCCACTTGCGAATGCTTTACGCTACGATCGCGCGACAAACTTTCGATTATTAGCCAGCGCGAGCGGGCGAGAATTACGCGGCGGTTACCGCGCGGAATTGCGCGCGAAGAAGACCCGCGTGTAAATTTCGCTGGACGCCTGGCCGCTTTGTCCTGCTCTACCGGCACCCTCTTTACGGTTATTACGCGGCAAGCGTGTTACGCGACGCGCAATATCGCGGAATTACATTTTCCCCGGGAATTGGAGAACGCAGCGAGCGCTGGCGCGTTGCGTTGCTTCGCGCGCAAAACTCACCGACGACGTGTTTGCCGGCGATGCACACGCGGCTTCGTCGAATTTCGTTAATCGTTCGCTATTTCGGGGGTTCGGTTTTCGTGGCAACGGGAAGGGTCGTTTCATCCACTTAAGGATCTTTGACGATTTCTAATGTGTCACGTGATGCTGCTAACTCAAACGAAGTCACTGTCGCTAGAGACGTTACAATGCGATGCACGAGGATAAGTAGGTATCTGCAGAATGGTCACACATACTCTTCACTAGAAGATGAAATATTTTAGTGGAGGATATCGAACTATCACGGAGCTGAAGTGACCTGAAGAATTTGCGAATTTTCGAAATTACACCACCGCGTTGGCGGTAGACTGCGCGGGATTCGCTTTGAAAGGGAACAGAAGGTTCGTTTTAATTCTTCTTTTCTCACTTCAGCTCCGTGTTTGCAGAAACTACCTGGAATGCCGTTACGAATGAGACGTTAATTAGTAAAAATGACGACGATTGTGTAGGAAAGTAGAATTTGAATGGAATGCCTCACCCATCCCCTTGTTTTGGAGCATCTCGAGCAGCTTCTTGATGCTTTCATCTCGAGCTTGCAGGGTCTGCTTCTGCGTCTCTATTCTCAATTCCAGCTCCTGTAATGGAAAAAAATAAACGGTGGAATCGCATTTTAGGTTGCCCCCGGGGGACGCGATCTCTACGAGCTTTAACTGCCGTTTCGCCGGGGTAATTGAAAAATATCCAAGCTCGTCGGCTCGTTCCTCTGCCTCTGCTGATTTCCCTCATCCCGATGCTCGCGAGGAAACAGATCCATGCCAAATTACCGAAGATAATCCTGCGTCTAACGAGGCGACTAATGGGACGGTGATACATCGCGAGTGAAACGCTAAATTCACCCTACTAGATTCGCTGATTCTAAAATTTGCGTTTTAAAATTCGTTCCACGATGTATCTATGATTCATTGCTCCGTATGTATGCTTCACGCTATACTGCATGCTACGGCTGATCATGCGATGGGTCAAATGGCCAGTTATGGAAGGTTTAGAGCTCTTCCACGCGACGATGCTCGTATCGCGATGCGAGTGCGACGAATAACAATCGTATGTATCGTATGCGTGGGGTTGGTCGCTGAGAGAAACGAGGATTCTTCACGGGAAAGGGTATTTCGAATTTTATTTCAGGTGTTCTCGACTAGCAAACGCGTGTCGCGATCGAGCATCGTCGCGTGAAAGAGCTCTCGTAGCTAACGCAGCGCCGCATCGACGATCGACTTCAATTTCTGCGATTGAAAATTGCTAACCGAATCACGTGATTCTTTAATCAACCACGCCGCTGTGACCGTAATTGAAACACGCGAAGAAGACGCGACGATGTCCCCTCTCTCTGTCCCCCTTGGCCCCCGACGTCGAATTGGATGACAGAGAGGCAGAAAGGACGAGGCACGACTTGTTTTACCGTAAAATGCTCGATTTGTGTTACGTCGCCGGTGATAGTGGCGGTGCTTGACGCCGGTATAACGAATTTAGACCGCCCCTTTGACGACAGGAACGTAATTAGCCCGGAATTAGACACCCGCTGGCCTTCCCTCTTCCTTTCCTAGGCACCGTCACCGGAAAACGCGTCCAACCTCGCCATCTCGCCGATATCGTTCGATGCTTTCGCACGTGTTCCTCGATTAACAGCTATTTTCCATGCTCGTTCCAAATTTTAGGGTACCTCTTCGCGATAACTAGGTGCAATTTTTCCTGCAGAAAGTTTTATTCGCGTTTCGAGCAGTCTGCAATTTTCTTTTAGAAAGGTACGAATTATAACGAGGGTTAACCAATGAGAAATTTCGGATCTTCGCACTAGGTGGCGCTGCTTTGCTTTAAACGGCGTTCATAACCTATTAGTGTTAGAACAGTCAAAATGGCCGACCTCGGAATTTTTATTTTTTAAATTGTACATAATATATCTATATAGCAAAATTCTATGCATTTTTATTAATACTTAAAGAAGTAAATAATATTCGGAGCTAGAATTTTAGGTTAACCATGCTGTTCGATAACTACAGCGTTAAATATAACCGCAACGTTGGATGAAATTCTGCAGCTGCTCACGAGACAGCAAGAATCCTAGGTCAAGATGCTCAACGCGTTATCCGACGAAACAAATAGCTGCTATTTTACGCTAAAAATGCCTCCGTACTTTCTGACCAACCGCAATCGTGATAAAAATCGGAGGAGGGGAATAAGCGATTTTTCCCGGCAGTTTCCTGGTTAATCTTCGATGTTCCGCGCTCGACAAACAATCGATCTTTCGGGCCCCGTGATTATTTGTCCGCTAGTCGAAGGCAAAAACCATCTGCGCAGACTAAATGGACTTTCGGCCGTAGAAGCTTTCTCGAGGCGCGGCTGAAAATAAATGCAGCCGGTTCAATGTTAAACGCTCTAAGTTCAATAAACGAAGACATTCGGCGAGGCACACGCTCGAAATACATCCTACGATTTTCCAACAACTGCGACCTTCCGTTACTCATCGATCCGAGCAAGCAACAACGACGTTACCGATTGCAAATATTCCTGCATACCGATCTCAGCCGAGCTTCCTAATCTCTGGTCATATAATTGGCCAGAATCGATTTCTTCTCGATCGCTCTAATCTTCTCTGCCCAGCCTGAACCAAAGGGAGAATGGATCTAGCTTGTTCTTTGCTCGAGGAACGAAACTCGAGCAGCAAATACCGGTGCACGTGTCGTTAGCGAGAGACATGCTTCTCTCTCGAATTTCGTACGTATCGAGAGAGGAAATCGGAGGCAGAGGCGTCGGTGAACGAGGCGGAGGAAGGCGAGGTTCGGTAGCATCGTCCGGGAGACGATATCCGCGGATCGATGACGAAGACTCGAAGGAGGAACGAGATGGCGGCTCGTGAGGCGAAAAACGACGCCGGAAGTGAGGGCCGGTGTCGGTGGACCCGGCCACGATCGGCGCATTCGATAATAAAGGCCGAGGGGACGTAGCCAGAAAGCGGCTGCATAATTTGGCGACTGGCCAAAGGCGACCAGTTGCTTCCAGTGCGTTGCACGTTTGACCTGTCTACGCGACCATTTGGCCGAGGACACGGCCCTAACTCATTCTACGGAATTTTCAATCGACGCTCGGCCGATTCGCTGCCGATCTTCCGTTCCTTATCTCGTTTCGCTCTGTCGTATACCTCGTCTCGAGTATTCCGAATTGGTTCTAAAGTTTTAGCGTTCCCCACGGATTTCGTGGAATATTCCTCGTAAGCACGATTCGGTACCGGAAGATACGTGCGCGAAGAGGAGCGAAGAGGAGCGAAGAGGAATTGGCTGGCGACGAAACTCGTCCCGATGCGACGAGTCGGTATCGCTGTCCGAATTAAGGTCAGCGATCGCACGGACGAGATAATCGGAGGGCTCGGTTTAATCAACGTTTTGACAGGAAACAAGCGATTTAGCGGCCGGCTCGTTCGCCTAATCTCTACCGGGTGCGGTTTGACGGGCGCCCAAGCGTCAAGCGGACAACCGAAATAGACAAGAGGTTTAGGTGTTGTTCGAGGTAAACGACCGATTGTCTGCCAACGGTTCGCGATGCTTCCGGAAATCTTGGCAACGCCGGCTATCAGCTTCCCGCAATAACTCCGTTAAGTCTGCCACCCAGTGGCGCCGAAAGCGATCCAACGGGTCCTCTGAACCGGGCTGGATCAATAAACTCCGGTGGAAACACGGTCGGCGTGTTGCGTCCCGGCGAAATTGGATCGTTTCGATGGATTGACGATAGTTAGGCAGCTTCCGGCGAGTCTACGCCGAGATTTCGTGAATCTCACGGGTAGTACACCGTGCGTGGAGAGGACGAGGAGAGGTGTGAAAGGACGTCGGGTGAAAATGATACTCGAGCGGAATTTTTCGTTCGACGTCGAAGACACGAAGTCGGGTTCCGGTTCTTTCGGCGACGAAGGAATTTCAAAGCACAAGACGCGGATAATACCCGGGTCTGCTGGGTGTGTACCGTCGACAGAGGGCCGGAAACGAGAGGAACGAGGTCGTACGACGAAAAGATGGCCGAAGGTTTTGAAATTCGCGACCCGGCCTCTGCCTTTGCTCCCGTTTCGCGCCTTCCATCCCCATTATTCGCGATTATAATGATCCCGAGCCGGTGAACGCCATTCTTCCGGCGAATTCCAATCTGAACGAAAGCCAACGAAGCTCCATTCTTCCCTCGAAATTCATTATTTTCCGCGGGCAGACGTTGGGCGAACGGGTCGCGACCGATCCTCCGTATTCTGCAGCGAAGGGTTCAGGGTTACGTTTTCTATCGTGGAAACGATGCAGTTAAAAATGGAGGCGACCTGGTGTTTCGTCATTTTCCGTTCTCTTCTCTTTATCGTGTCGCTCGTGTCGCGATAAGCGGGAGAACTGGAGCGAGGAGGATTGATAACGTTCCTCTTCGGAGCGTATGCAAAGTTCGAGCTTGAAAATTCCTCCTATCGATATTCTCTTTCCCACGAGCAGACAAACCACTTACCTTGATCGTGTCTCGAAGTATGGCGATCTCTCGCGTCAGATGCTCGTTCTCGTTGTACAAAACTTCCATTTGCTGCTGCATCTCCACGTTCGGCCCCCGCATCCGCATCCTCAGCTCCTCTTCCAGTTGGCGAACCATCATACTTTGTTTCTGCAACAGGCAACGAATGGGATCGTTCAACGACCACGTGCATCTGGGCCAATTAATCGCTCTAACGGGGAACAGGGAAACGCGTAGGTACCCGCTTGCACCACGCCGATGCAATTTTCTCTCGTTATGAAATTTACAAGCGGAGTTTCTCGAATTTGCTCCTTATTTCCCTAGCATTCGCACGGGACGATAAAAAGGTCGGCGTTTCCCAGGCGACACGGATAATCGTGCATTCGAGCCACGCGAAACTGCTCGCAGCATGAAACCGGCTAGCTAGCCGATCGAACGACCAGACGCAAACCTCGTAACCCTTTCGAGAACGCCGTTCTCGTTATTTCTCCTCACGTATCCCGTGAATACTCGAATTTTAGGTAAATTGAAAAATAAACGTAAATGAAGGGGAACAGGAGGGAAGACGGGGAATAAGAGAACTGTGTAAAAGTCCGTCGCGAGGAGCACGGTTTATTCGATGGAAAAAGCATCGGAATACATCGTCTACCGAATCTCGTAGTCGAGTGTTGCCTGATCCTCGTTTAGAGTATCACGATACTCGATGATATCGGACTTCGGGACGCGGCTGGCATAAATTCGCTCTGTTTGCTCGAAAGAATGGCGCGAGAGAGGCGGAATAAGGTTGTCGGGAGCAGGGAGAGCGGACAAAACGGAGGGAAAATCGGCCGATTACGGGTTGAAAGGGAAGTCGGTGTCTAGGAAGAGCTTTTTGCACGGAACGCTCGTGCAAAGTCAATATTTCTGGCGGAAGTTCGATCGTCGCGCACGTTCCCTTTGGACTCGCGACTCGAGAAAGCTTTTTCTTCCCCCCTCCGCCCCTTTTACGCTTTTTTCCGCCATCTTTCCTCCCCTATTTCCTGCCCCGTCCCTTGGCTCTCCCGGATCTTCAACCGAATCACTTTGACCCCTCTTCGCGTTCTCCTTTATGCGCCCCCTTTGAGCTGCACTTCTGCTACCCTTTTTCTCGATTTTAACATTTTTTTTCCCCCCTCCTCCTCCTCCTCCGTCCGCCGGAAAAGAGCCTTCCCTTCTTCGGGCTTTGTATCGTTTCTTATAAGCTTTACATGAAGTTTCCATCCGCACTCAGCCTTTGCGTTAACGTCTCTTTTATTTTCCCGGACAACTTTCAATATTTCTATTATCCTCGTCTTCCCTGTTCCACCGCGTCGACGTCTTGCTTTTTCGCCTTTTCAAACGCTTCGTCTTCGCCGACGCTCTCTGCCGCGCCTCCTTCTGCCTCAATCTCCCACTCGACTCTGCCTTCGTGGATATTGTTCCAGGGCCTTCGTCAAGCTCGTTAGGCATCGTTAATGACGACAACGCGACGCCAGTCGGACAAAGGAAACACACTGACGAAAAAAACGCTCCCGCAGACCGGATGATTACGAGCAGTATGTTTTCGCGTGCACTTCACGCCAGAACAACCGGCTCCCGTTTGCCGGGATAAAATCTCTTTGCGCCTTCCATCGACACCTCTAACCGGCGAGCCTCACGATTAAGTCCAGACTTGGGCGCGAGACCCGATCGTACCAAAATTTTTAATCTCCAGACAATTAACGATGGAGGGTGGAAATGGAATTGCAGCAGTGCCCGCTTTAGCTGTTAGTTAGGACCGAATCGCGAATGGGACGTGTAAGTGGACAGAAGAATTTTTCGACTTTAGTCGAAGGAAATCGGTCGGTGTCGATTTTCAATTAACTTTTAAAGATCGTCGAAGACACCGAGGGACGTCAAAGCGGGCGACGCTTCGGACACCAAAGCGGGCACCGCGGTAGATCGATTGACGCAACGCGAGGTGGTATCGGTGGATTTTTAATTCCGTTTAAAAGCGTGAGAATCGAATTGCGGTAAATTACAAGCGGTTTGCGAAGCGGACGATCGAAGCTGGCTGGATCGCAGGCGGAAGCCGTAATTTCGTTCGTCAGTGTGGCGTATCGTATTCATACGTGACGACGACGCGTTAACAAACTTCGCGCCTCGTCGTCGCGGAGCCAAAGGCCACGCCGGAGACGATGCTCGACCGGAAGCGGAGCCGTTCAATAGCGACGATCGACCTGATTTCGCGTACGAGCAGGCAACGACAACGTGCCACAGGGAGGGTGTGGAGGTCGAGAGAGCTCCCCACCAAGCCCGTGACGTCAGTCACCCCCATAACGAAATCAGACCACCAAGCCATGGCCGAATTCCCCTTTTCACTCCTACCCTACTTGCCACACGCTGCCCCGATTTCTCGATTGTGCCGCCCTTTGCCGTTTCATCCTTCCATACCCGCTAAATTTATTTTAATTGCAATTTCGCATCGGTGATCCGTTTATCCGATATTCCGGTTAACATTTAACGGCGTTGTTTCCCCATAAATTCTCCATGAGGGAATTCTCCGCGAGCGAGCCACCGTCGCGGAATAAGATTCTAGTGTTATTCCCTAGAGGCTGGTAAAGCGTGATATCTCCGCTGGAATTCTGCTCCACTGGCTAAGTCGAGTGGTAATGAATAAATGGTAATGAATAATAAATATATACGCGGAAATCGAATCTACCTCCGCGATTTCTCTCTTATACCACTTCGTCTTTCCGCGATCCTAATTTTCTTTTAATTGGACTTTCGTAGCAGTCATCCTTGGAATTGATATTCGTATTAATATTTAACAGCGATGTTTCCATTCTCGGTAAAAGACCCAGTTCCATCGGGCGGAATTTTAGCGTTATTTTCCAGACAGGTGTAAGGCTTGATATTTCTATCGGAATTTTACTCCGCTGTTAGCGCGAATTAGTGTCGGGTAAGATATATGAAAATCGATTTTCAATGGGCAGTTTGGTAACCGAAATCGGACATTACGTTTCTAGGTGAACGCGAATCGCCAACGATCCTTCTCCCACCCCTAATTATATTTCAATTAGAATTTGATATCGGTCATTTCCGGCTCTGATGTTCCTATTAATATTAAACAACGATGTTTCCATTTCCCATAAAGGACCTAGTTCCATCGAATAAAATTCTAGTATTATTCCCTAGGAACCGCCATGGCGCGGTATTTCTCTTGAAAATTTACCACACCGACGACGATGAACAGCGACGAATAAAGTACATAAACGGAAGTCGAATCCCTTGCTCCGGGTTCCGTATTATACCGCTCTTTGCTATTCCATCCACCCTCGACCCCAATTTTATGTTAATTCGAATTTCGTATCAGTTATTCCAAGATCCGCAATCCTGTCATGACATTTAATCACGGTGTTTTCATTCGTCATAAGAATCTCAATTCCACCATCAATTCCACGGTCTAGTGATATTCCCTAGCCACCTTTGAGTCTTACTATTTCCAGTGATATTTTACATTGGACGGTCGGCGTCGTATAGCAACGAACAAGGTATACGAAAATTAAATCTAAACGCTAGTTCTATAAAAAATTTCTAGGGGAATCGCAAATGATTTTCTCCCACCCCAATATAATTTTATTTTAGAATTTCACACGAGCAACTAATGCATCCGATATTTCGTTAGAGCATTTAACTACGGTATATCCACCGCTCGTAAGAATCCCAGTTTCGCCGCATAAAGTCCTAGTGATATTCCCTAGCCACCGCAAAGTCGTAACATTTCCATCATAATTTTAAACGACGGCGAGCGTCGATGTAGCCACGAACAAGATACATGGAAATGGAGTCGCAACGGGTGGTTTGGTAACGAAAATCGAGCATTACGTTTCCAGGCAAACGCGAGACGCAAACGATCCGGCGCAACCCTCGAGGTTGTCACGGATCGCTCGGGGTGTCGGTGTGTACATGGTGTCGCGTGTTCTGGTTTCGAAACGATTAGCCCTCGATTAACCCTCGCCGCGGAGGGAACCCGATCTCTCTCTCTCTCTCTCTCTCTTTCTCTCGGGGGTGCGATCGGTATCGTCCATCGACACAGTTTACGCCTTCTATCGAACGCGCCACGGCCGACGGAGGAACGAAGATGAAGCGGGGGTTTAAAGTTTAAACGAAGCCCCTCTTAAGACGAGATCCTATTAACGATCGCGTAAATCCTATCTCACGGTGGCGTTTCTTCTTACGCCGCGTGTAACCCTCGTCGTGAAAACAACCGGTCGTCCACGGCCTCCGGGAGTTAATGGTCGACGACCACCTGCCGAAACGGTACTCCTCCTCGGACAATACGGTGTCTAGAGCGACGGAGACAGCGAGGGTCGGGGGTTCGCTTTTGTTCGAGGACGAAAGGAGGCCTGGAAGTACGTTTACTTGGAAAAATCCTCTTAACCGCTCGCCTTCCTCTGTAGCACGCGGCGCGGACTTTTAACAAGAGTTTCAGGGATTTTTACAGACACTATCGGTTCCTAATCCAGCATCCACCAGTCCATTGGTTCGTTGCGTGGAAGACAACGGGAGGAGAGACTTTACGAGGAGGACGCGTGTAAAATGGCGTTTACGGCTGGGATTAAAGCGTTTTCATCGGCGTTATTCCGTCATAAATTCCCGCGTGGTGAAAAAATAAAGCCGGGGAAAGAAGCTCGGTGGAAGAACCTTCCGCGAACACGCGATAACGAGGTTTCTAAGAAGGAAACACGAAATAGGTCGCAAAATGTGGCGTGCTTTTACCAAGAAACAGAGTTGTACGGGCAACTCTTTGATTTTTCTGGGGTCGTTGCACGTTAGATCGATCTCTTCCGGGTTCCCGTTGGCTCGTGCATGTCGTTTAAATATTTTTCTCCTGTGTTTAATACCATCGTCATCATAAATAGCATGGAATTAGATATGCACGCGGTGTGTATGCGCGCGTCCAACCAACGTAATATCCTTACGTTATCGTAATTGTTAAGTGCCAGAGGTTGCAAGCACGTAGTCGCCGACCATTTTCTTTTTTCTCGCGACTATAAAACACGATAAAACACGGTTCGCTTTTTCGTCCGGCGCTTTTTGCGTGCATATGCGACCGAATTATTCGGGAAGTGTCGAGATTTATTATACCCCCTTGTTACACGGGAATGAAG